AAAAGGCCAGCTTCCCGAGGATATAATGAAATGACAAAACGGGGAAGTATTCTTGAAGTAAAGACAGGAGGGCATACAAGTTTATTATTATTATGCAGAAGAATCTTTTCTCTGTAACACGCAGCATGCCTGTTGTTGGGGGCCGAGAGTAACAGCTGTGTAATTAGACTTCATGTTAGATCGGGAGAGGCACTCTCTGGCTTTCATTACGCAGACACTTGTACGGCTCCTAGGGCGCATGGCGTCGGGTACTCCGATGGATGCAAAATTGAATGAGCCACAGTCCTCCCCTGCAAGGAATGTGCATTCTGTTCTCTGGAGAATGAAACTTAGATAACATACACAAGGTCAAGAGGAAAAAGGGGCTGCGAGGAAGGAGACACACCCAAGACCTGCAGCACTACTCGAGGTCGCGCCAAAGTGCCTGGCCCCACGGAGGATCCAGAAATGGGACCCCCAGAACCAGGCAAGCCCACGGAGATGGCCAGGACCCAGGGGGAGGGAGGCCCTGGCGAGCAGCCGAGGTTTCCCGGGATGTGTGACTGGCCACATTGGGACCAGGAAAGTTTCCCCTGCACTTCTCTGAGCACAACGTCTGGGTGCCCACGCCTCGCTTTGAAAGGGGTTGGTGTCTGTGAACCTACACAGCTTTCCGTAATGATTTAAGTGACTCAGAAGCCCAGGAGCCCTGGAGTGAAAGGATGAGACGAAAGGAGAGGGGAACGGCTTCGGCGGGCGGCAGCCAGGTTCCATTTGATCTTGCAGACAGCGGGCCACAGCGGGTGAAGGCCAGAGCCGGGGATGGCGGGCGGCTGGCTTCCCAGCCGCTGCCTCCTCCCCGATCCCGCAGCCGCTGTTTGGACTTGCAGGCTTCAAACATGACTTGGGGATTCCTGGAAGACAAAAGGATTGAGGGCCGCAGCTCGAATCTCAGGCACAAACAACTCAGGGGCTCATCTCAGGCAGGTGAGGAGCCACCGCTAGGCACCCTTCTGCCACCAGTTTCTCAGATGACTGGGGCTCCCGGTGGGGAGGGGGCCAGGGCCTTGGCGGGGAAGGGCCTGGTGGAGCGAAGCCTCAGAGTGGAAAACCTGCCCAAGAGAACCAAGCAGAAGAGGTGCTGGAGAAAGAGCTACCCGTCTTTCCCCGCCTCTGGGCACTGCCATTTGCTTTGAGCTATAATTACAGCTCTTAGTGTTCCTTCCCCGGCTTCTCATTAGCTCAAGGTGTCCACAAACAAACAGCTCGCTCCCCTCACCCCTGCCCTTCCTCCCCCAGCAGCGCCTCCCCGCCCTTCAGTGGCAGAAGTTCGATCCTTACTAAACCCCCCAGCCCACCCACGCCCCTCCCTGGAGGGCGCACTAGAGGGACTCCCCCCCACCCCACCCCCGCGCTCTGTCTCCCTGATTTTCTCCCAGGAGGCCAGGACCTGGGTCTTAACCTCTTTGTATTCTCAGCACCTCGGCCAGGGTCTGGCAAATCACGAGCACTCACTCCCTGTTCTCCGAACGAACGGTGCTGTTGAGCTGCTGCCAACTTAATCTTCCCAAAACACTGCTCCAGGTAGAAGCCATCCCTGCTTCTCCATCACCCTCAGGCCTCAGGCTGGCCCCCGAGGCCCTCAGGACGTGGTCCCCCTCACCTGCTTGGCCATCCTTCCTTTGTGATCGCCCTCAGGACGTGGTCCCCCTCACCTGCTTGGCCATCCTTCCTTTGTGATCGGCTGCTCAGCAGCTTGCCTGCCTTTGTGCGCTTGCTGCACCCACACATCTCCACCTCTACCCCTTAAAGGGCCCCACCTTTGTGGTTTTTTTTTTTTTTTTAAGATTTATTATTTACTTGAAAGGTAGAGTTACAGAGAGGCAGAGGCAGAGAGACAGAGAGAGAGAAATCTTCCATCTGCTGGCTCACTCCCCAAATGGCTGCAATGGCCGGAGCTTCCTCCAGGTCTCCCACGTGGGTGCAGGGGCCCAAGGACTTGGGCCATCTTCTGCTTTCCCAGGCCATAGCAGAGAGCTGGATCAGAAGTGGAGCAGCCGAGACTCGAACCAACACCCATATGGGATGCCAGCAGTGCAGGCAGCAGCTTTACCGGCTACACCACAGCACTGGTCCTGGACCCCACCACCGCCCCTGCCGCCTTTCAAGGCTCACCTCCACAGCGAGCTCCTACCCCTTAGAACTCAGTTTGGCCCTTTGGAGTCTGAACCGCCCTGCCCCAAGCCCTTACCCTGTTCTGCTGTGACTTAGCATGACACAGGTGGGGAGGGCTTACAAAATGAAGGGCAGGCTGGGAATGCCACTCAGCCTTGCTGTCACCCCACACTGGACCCCAGGGCTTCTCCCAGGGCAGGAGCAGGGCCCATGTGCAGCACACCCCCAGGCACCTGTGACTGCCTGGCCCACAGCAGCCATTCAGGGACAGTGAGCAGACTCCACACCCCTCGCTCCTCTTCCCCCAACTGGCAACAGAAGGTGCCAGTCCCTAGGCTGTCTTAGATGGAGAGGACCAAAAGCCATTAGCTGTCCCAGCACCCCCCCCCATTCCTCAGAGGCTCCAGGCTTGGTTCCCAGCCCCAAGTCCCACTGTCTGCTGGCTGTGGGGTGTACCTAATTGCAGATTCCCTGGGGCCGAGGGATGGGGCGGGCTGGCTGGGAGGCTCGACAGTATTGAGGACCCCAGGTGGACAGGGTGGCCTCTGGTCTGCAGAGGACGTCAGATGGCCGTCCTCCCAGCAGCGGCCAGGGAGAGGGAAGCAGTCTCCTGCAGGGGGATTCTGGGAATGCTGGCTGTCGAGGAGGGGCAAACTGCTCTGGGGCAGAGGAGGAACGAGTCGCCCTCCTGGGCACTTCTCAGGTCCTGCTCTCCCCTCATTCCAACTGCTGCTGCAGTCCTGCCCTTTGCCTTGGAAGGCACCCACCTCCCATGTCCCTGTGCTCAGGCCATGATTCTTCCTGTCCAGCCTCTGAACGACAGCCACAGGGACCTTTTCTTTTTTAAGATTTATTTATTTATTTGAAAGACAGAGTTAGAGAGAGAGAGAGACAGAGAGACAGGTCTTCCACCCGCTGGTTCACTCCTCAATTGGCTGCAATGGCCAGAGCTGCGCTGATCCAAAGCCAGGAGACAGCAGCTTCTTCTGGGTCTCTGACATGGGTGCAGGGGCCCAAGGACTTGGGTCATCTTCTACTGCTTTCCCAGGCCATAGCAGAGAGCTGGATCAGAAGTGGAGCAGCCGGGACTAGAACCGGTGTCCACTGCAGGTGGCTTCTGTCTTTACCCACTAAACCACAGCGCTGGCCCCCCAGGGATCTTTTCAAATGCTGCTCTCTGCTCACAGTCCTTCAGTGGCTCCCAAATGCCCTTAGGATAAAGTCCAAGCTCTTCTCCACGCCCCTTCCAGGCGAGGCTCCCTACACTGAGCACCTTGCTCTGGTTTCCAGCCAGGACAGGTTGCTGGCGGTTTGCCTCCCATGTGCAGCCCTGGCCATACCCCATACTGTCCTCTCTGTTTGGAACGTTTCCCCTGTACCTGTCCCCAATGCCTGCTTCTGGGGCATATCCCTTGGGACGCCTTCCTGGACCCGCGAGGACTCCGTCCACCCCCTGGACCTTCTCTTGAATCCAGCACTTATCCTTATGCTGGCCATCTTGCCACCCCCAATTAAGCTGTTTCTGGAGGGCAAGCTCTGGGTCTTATCCATCTCTGCATTCCCAGTGTGGCAGCACTGGCGCATCCCAGGAGCCTGCTGAGGCCCTTCCCCTGCAGGCAGACCTGGGCAGAAGGCGGCAGCAAAGCCAGCGCCTCTTGTGTTTTCAGAATCACACCCCGTGCAGACAGTTTTATTTACAAGGAGATCTTGGCAGGATCTTGACTTGTTAGTAGAGTAGGGATGGGGGTTGGGTGGTGGAAAACAAAAATAGTTGAGCCCGATCACACTTTCTGAATCCGCGATGAAAATCGGTGTCTGCAGCGAGCTCCCCTAATGAGAGTGGAGTGAACGTCCTTTCTTCTTGCTGGGTGGGCCGGCCACAGGTCGGATGCCGCCGCTGGGGTCCTGTTCGTTCTGGGAACAGGAATTGCAACGTTCACTCGGGCAAACAGCCTCAGTTTTCGAGAGGCAAAGGCGAGCGTGTGGGTGTGTGGTGGGAAGACTACGGGCGCTGCCTCGGCGCGGGCTGGGAACCGCAGGGAGACAGCCTCTGGCCCCGGAGGCGGCTCCTCCCAGGGGCTCTGGCCTGTAGGAAATGCAGCTCCCCTAATCTTGCGCGCTGACTTCCCTCCTGCGGGCTTTAGTGCCTTCACCGCCTCTCCCAGCGCGGGCTCTTCCCTGGGCTAACCTCTGTCCACGTGGCAAGGTGCAGCCTGGGCAGTCCTGCGGCTCCGGGTGCGGGGAAGACAAGACGTGGGGTTTGGGACCCGGGATCCCCCAGCTGACGTCTCCCGTCCCTAGCTAGGCCTCCGGGAAGCTCCCGGGACCTGAGACGGCGGCGCACGGGGATCTCGGGGTGGGGGTGAGGGGTCCCGGGCCCGCAGCACCCCCCCCCCCCGTTAACCTCGACCTTGCCAACGCGATGAAAACCTCGCTTCTGCCTCCTTTTCACACTTGCCGCTTCCAAGTGCTCATCAGGCAGATGGGAGACAAACCCAGGCCCGGAGTGGACGCCGCTGGTTCTGGGTGGGGGGTGGGCGACGCAGCGCAGTCCCCGAATCCGCCGCTCCCGGGACCGCGCGGCTCGGACCGCTGCGGCCCCGGCGGGGGCGTGCGGAGTGGCGGTGGGGGCGGGGGCGTGCGGTCCCGGCGAGCAGCCCCGCCCCCGCCCGCGCACCGCCCCGAGGAGTCCGCGGGGAGGAGGAGACTCCGGCGCAGAGCGGGGGCCGCGGGAAGCGGGAAGGGAACGCGGGGACCAGCCGGGCCGGGGCCGGCCCAAGGGCGCTCTCGCCTCGGAGCTGGGCTCGGGGGCTGGGGTGGGGGGCAGGCGGAGGCCGAGGCCGGCGAGAGCGGAGAAGTTTGGCGGCGCTGAGGCCGGGCGTCCCGGGGCTGCAAGCAGGCGGCTGCGGCGGCGCGGGGGCCGGGGCCATGGGGGCAGGCGCCGGTGGCCGGGCTGGCGCGGAGGCGGCACGGCGTGCACCGAGCCCTGCGAGCGGAGCGGTCGCCGAGGCGCAAAGTTAGCCCGGCGCCCCGGGACCCTCCTCGGCCATGGGCGAGCACCCCAGCCCGGGCCCCGCAGTGGCCGCCTGCGCCGAAGCGGAGCGCATCGAGGAGCTGGAGCCGGGGCCGGAGGAGCGGCCGCCTGCCGCGCCAGAGGACGTGAGTGCCCCTCCCCAGCCCGGGCAAACTTTCTAGGGGGCGCCGAGGGTAGGGCCGCCCCCGCGGGGCAACTTGGAGGCGTCAAGGTGACGCGGAAGCGCCCGGGATTGGACGGGTCCCCACGGGCGGGAGGGGCTGCGGGCCCCGGGTCCCCGGAGCGCACGCGTCACCCCGGCTCGGGCGCCCACGGCTTCCCTGCGGGACACAGGCGCGCCGCTGCGCCGGGGACTCGCCGGCCGCGAGAGCCCTCGCCCCGTGGCTGGTGCAGTGCCCGGGACACGGCGTTTTCCCGCAGAGGCAGCCGCGTCACAGCCGTGACTCCCCCCCTCCCCCCGCGACCTGCAGGCGCCGCAGAGTCCCCGGGACCCGGCCCCGCAGATTGCACTGGCGACCCTCTGCTCCGCCCCGCGCCAGCCTTGTCGCGACGTTGGCTGCAATGCAAGCTGGCCTCTGTCGCCGAGCCGGAGCAGGGAGAGGAGTGCGGGCAGCAGGGTTTGCGCCTCGCGAGGGGCCCAGCCCGTGTCAGTGTGGGCGACGGTTCCCGGCGCGGGGGGGGGGTGTCAGGAGGGCTTCCCCGCGGGCTTCCCCGCCATCAGCCGCTTGGGTCCCCGTCGCGCCCGCCGTGGGAGCCGGCCCTGAGCACTGGGGTGTCTCAGCTGCTCCCTCCTGGAGTTACATGCACACCGCAGTGAAAGGCGGGCAGACCCCCCATCCTGCCCATCTCTCCCCCAGCGTCGTGGGGCGAAAGCGAGGCCACATCCCGCAAGCTACGACCTAGCCCAAGTCAGGGCTACACAGTGGGGCCGGCGGTTTATGATTTTCTCTGTTTTCTGCGGGTAAACCTGTCCCTGCCTGCCTGCCCTGGGCCCCTGGTAGAATCACCTGTTCTCAGCACCTCGACTCAGACTCGGAGAACTGCCTGGTGTCAGTAGGGAACCTCCATCCCCCATCTCCCACCCCAAGCCCTGAACAGCCGTGCGGGCTGAACGTCCCGAGGAGGGGTCTCTGCTGCCCACACCTGGGGCGGACCTCAGCTGTCGGTAGCACAAGTTACTCCAGGCACCTGGCCGGAGGTGGGCGCCTGGAACTGGCGGTTTCACCGCGGGTCTGCTCGTCCCTCGGCCTGCGGGTCCGGTCTGCGCCCCCAGCCCGCACCTGCGGTGCGTTCCCTCCTCTCTCGCCTCGGGCACTCATTTGCCCAGCTCTTCCCGGGTTCTCCCTGGGCTCTGCGGGGCAACAGCTGGGGGGCTAGGTCAGAAGCCTCAGGGGGCTGCCGAGACCTTGGTGACCACTGTGTCTCTCTTTCTCTCCTCTTCCTCCTCTCCTGCATGGCTCGCTCTACCAGCACTGGAAAGTCCTGTTTGATCAGGTACGTGAGCGGTTAAATCCCCCCGCCCCCCCCGCCTGCCTTCCGGCCCTGCCTGCCTGCGTGGGCTTCCCCAGCTCTGCGCTCCTGGGGCCGTGTGGCGAGCCGGGGGCGTGGCCTAGTGCGTCTTGGGCGGAGCCACGCCCCTCTCCAGGTGTCTGGCGGAGGCGCCTGGCTACCCTAGAGGGTCTTTCTCTCTGCAGCAGAGCGGGAGGAACGGCACCGTGTGTGTTGAATGCCTGGGAAGCGCGCTGAGTGCCAGGCGATTGCAGAGGCGCGGGGCAGGGCTTGGGTCCGCCATGCGTCTCCTTTCCCCCTCCGTCACGGGTCCCTAGCCGTGCTGGAGTCAAATCCCGCCATCCTTGGGGGTGACTCACAGTATGGGCTCCCTTGAAGGCTGACTCCATTTTTTAAAATTCTCTCATGGGGTAGGGCAGTGCTGAGAGGTTGCACGTGGGAAATGGTTTATGGTTATTTGCAGTGTCTGAGAACCCGAGGGGTGGGGAGTGGGGGCGGGGTTCCAGGTGTGGCCTTTTGAGCCTGGAGATGGTCATTTGACCTTCAGATGCTTCTCTGCTCTGCACTCCTGTGGGGCGCCGTTGGCATTTTCTTCTTCCTGTCTGTCCGCTGGCGCGGAAGGAGAGGAGGCGGGCCAGGTCCCAGTGTGGGGTGGCAAGCACCGCCTCCCCGGTCCAGGGCGCGGTAGATGGTGCCCTGAAGTTAGTGCGGCTGGAAGAGAACTGGCATGAGTCGGGCTGGAGAGGGAAGTAGAGCTGAAGAAGTGGCTCGAGCCAGGCCTTGGCTCGGGGTGGGGGGTGGGGGGTGGGGGGGCTTTGGAAGCACTCTGGGAGACCGGGTTGGAGGAGCGGTGGAGTGCGGGCACTGGAGGCAGTGCAGTGAGCCGAGAACGAAGAAGAGCTCACTGGGGCTGGGTCCTGAAGGGAGAGGGGAGGGAGGGAAGGCTGGCAACAGTGGCAGCTGTGGCTGGAGAGGGCTTCAGTTTGAGGAACCCGGGAAATGCAGGCACTCAGAGGGGCTGAGACACATGCTGGGGGCCTGGCCTGGCTGTGGTTTTGGAGGGGCACCCACTGCTCCTCTCGGGATCGGATGCAGCCTCTCTTCCCTCCTCTCCTGAGTGCCGCCCACTCTGCCTCCTGCTCCCAAGCCCGCAGCAGCTGCTGCCCTGACACGGGAGCTGGAGGGAGCCGTGCCACTGCCGCCGGGCTGCCAGCCCCGCGCACCGCCTGCTGCATTTAGCACCGGGACCCAGAACACAGCGTATCGTTCCCTTCCTTGCTGTGTCTTTCTCATTTGGGCGATTTTCCCTGCCAATTCCTATCTGTGTTTACATTTTAAAACAAACCGAGTGACTAGAGGAGAACTTCTACTCGGAACAGTTTGGAGCTGGAGGAAGCAGAGAGAATGCATAGCCCCTATATCAGCTGGGGCACCAGAAAATCCAACTTCTCCCAGTGGATGGAGGACCTGGGTGTCAGAAGAGCACCCCCGCCCCCGCGTCTGGGGAGACAGACTTAATTCTAGGAAGAACTAGCAAGCCTTACCCTGGACAGTTTTCTCTCGTACTAAGCTTTTCCGATAGCTACCCACCCCCCACCCCCCGTCCCCCTGCCGCTGTGTTTATCTCTTTTCTTTCCTGCCATCAGGCTTTGGGTTTAAGGAGGCTCGCTGCTGAGCAGGGCTGTCGCCATGACAGGTGTCTGGGTCTTCTGCGTCCATCACCGCTGCTTGGTTAAGCCACCCCCCATTTTCCCCCAGGAGACCTAAAGGAAAAGTGGGTCTGAAGCTTCACAGACATCCGACCTCAGAAGGCTGAAACCTTTCGTCCTTTCTGCCTCTCCCTCTAGACCTGACAGTTGGATTTGGTGACGGATAAACGGGCGAACTTGGGGAGGAAAACCTGGCTGGGGTTCCAGGCAGCTTCCCTTGCGTTTGATACAGAATTAGGCAGCCTAGATGAGCCCCGCTGTGGAGAGGGATCCGACACATGTCAGAGTCCCCGCAAGCAACGTGGGGTTCACCTTCTGGAGGTCAATGACCGGGAGGCTGGAATGAGCCAGGGATGTGCCCGTGTCCTTCCTGGGTCAGAAGGATATAGGTGGTCACCCAGTCTCAGCTGGAGCGGAGGGCGGTGAGCCCAGTCCCGTGGAAGTTTTCCCTGAGCCCCTGGCATTCTGGCACCTGCATGGCCAGCTCGGGCAGGGGCATGGCAGGGCCACCATGCCGTCCGTCCTCATCTGCTCCCAGATCGCAGGAAACCATGGGGTCCATGTGTCCGTTGCCCTTTTTTTTTTTTTTTTAAGATTTTTTTCCCCTAAGATTTATTTATTTGAAAGGCAGAGTTACAGAGAGAGGGAGACAGGGAGAGAAAGAGAAATCTTCCATCTGCTGATTCACTCCCCAGATAATTGCAACTGCTGAGGCCGGACCAGGCAGAAGCCAGGAGCTTGGAAGTCCATCCAGGTCTCCCACATGGGTAGCAGGTGTCCAAGGACTTGGGCCATCTGCTGCTGCTTTCCTGGGCGTATTAACAGGGAGCTGAATTAGAAATGGAGCAGCCGGGACTTGAACCAGCACCCACAGGGGATGCTGGTATCTCAGGCAGTGACTTAACCCACTGTACCACAACCCTGGTCCCTCTGTTTTCCTAGAGGAAATTATCTCCTCATATCATGAGAATCTTGATGGTTTTCCTAAATATTGGAAAGTTGACATTACCATAAATACGAATGTTGTTATAATCTCGTGCTGTGGTTTACATGTCTTCTTTTTCTGTTACTGAATCTGTTGTGCTTTTCTTGTATGGTTCTTTTGGTTGCTTTAGACCTGACACAGTTTTCTTCCTCCTTTTTAAGATTTTTATTTACTTATTTATTTATTTGCCAAGGAGAGACAGAAAGGTCTTCCATCCACTGGTTCACTCCCCAGATGTCCACAACAACCTGAGCTGTGCTGATCCGAAGCTGGGAGTGTCTTCCAGATCTCCCATGTGGGTGCAGGGACCCAAGGACTTGGGCCATCTTCCACTGCTTTCCCAGGCCATAGCAGAGAGCTGGATCAGAAGTGGAGCAATTGAGACAAACCAGTGCTCACATGGGATGCTGGTGCCACAGGCGGAGGCGTAGCCTACTGTGCCACAATGCCAGCCCTGCTTTTGTTTTGTTTTGTTTTCCTTAATTTGAAGGGAAGGGGGAAAGAGCATGCACATGTGCACACATCTGTCTGCTGTTCACTCCCCAAGTGGCTACCACAGTTAGGGCTGCGCCAGGCTGAAGCCAGGAGCTTGGAACTTGATCTGGGTCTCCCACGTGAGTTCAGGGGCCCAAGCACTTGGATCATCTGCTGCTTTCCCAGGTGCATTAGCAGGGAGCTGGGTCAGAATCATAGCAGCCGGGACTTGAACTGATGTTCACATGGGATGCTGGCATTGCAGGCAGTGACAACTCACTGTGCCACAAAGCTGGCCCCAGCCTCTTTTCCAGCTCTCGCAAGTGTGCCCTTCTACCTCTTATGACTTTTACTGTGATTAAAAACATCACAGACAGGCCAGTGCCGCGGCTCAATAGGCTAATCCTCCACCTGCGGCGCCGGCACACTGGGTTCTAGTCCTGGTTGGGGCGCCGGATTCTGTCCCAGTTGCCCCTCTTCCAGTCCAACTCTCTGCTGTGGCCCGGGAGTGCAGTGGAGGATGGCCCAAGTCCTTGGGCCCTGCACCCCATGGGAGACCAGGAGAAGCACCTGGCTCCTGGCCGGCCACAGCGCACTGGCCATTGGAGGGTGAACCAACGGTAAAAGGAAGACCTTTCTCTCTGTCTCTCACTGTCCACTCTACCTGTAAAAAAAAAAAAAAAAAAAAAAAACCAGACTATATATTTTTGAAATTTTTAAAAAAAGATTTTATTTATTTGAGAGGTAGAGTTACAGACAGAGTGGGAGAGATGAGAGAAAGATCTTCCGTCAACTGGTTCACTCCTCAAATAGCTACAATGGCCAGTGCTGAGCTGATCTGAAGCCAGCACTTTCTTCTAGGTCTCCCACGTGGGTGCAGGGGCCCAAGGACTTGGGCCATCTTCTACTGCTTTCCCAGGCCACAGCAGAGAGCTGGATCAGAAGAGGAGCAGCCAGGACTTGAACTGGGGCCCATATGGGATGCCGACACCACAGGCAGAGGCTTAACCCACTACGCCACAGTGCTAGCCCTGCAGACTCTGTATTACACCTGGATCTTATTCCTGTCTAGTTATGCTGGCCTCCCATCCTAAGAACCCTTCTGCTGCCCATTGACAAATGTTTTTTTGGTGAAATTTTACGGGGCACTGGACTTGTTTCTGATTTCTGACCTGTCCCATTGGTACTTGTAATATTGCTCAGGTCATGGACCCTCGAGTTGTTGCTGGATGTTTGTTCAATAGATTTCTTAAAAGCTTCTCTTTTTCAAGTTAGCTTTGATAGTCTCATTCTCAGGTGCTTCTTGAATCCCGGGGAGGTTTGATCCAAGTCCAAATAGTGGGGCTCTGGCAGATGCGGGATTGGAGTCCAGTTAATCCCCAAAGGGCTTCCTGGGTTAAAAAAACCATCTCCAGGCTCACCCTTAAAAATGTCTCAGCCATCTTCAAATGCTTACTGAGCAGGATTTGGAGCAAAGTTCTGGTTAGTCCATGAAGCATAGGTGCTCTCCAGCTTCAAAGAGCGAGGGAGAAGACAGGCTTTGCAGAGCCGCAGGTTAGGCCACTGTTGGGACATCTGCTGCCGTGTCAGTGCCAGTTAGAGTCTGGCTCCGACACCTGCTAACGCAGCAGGTGCAGCAGGCGATGGCCCGAGCGTTTGAGTTCCTGCTGTGCACGAGGGACACTCTCCTGGAGCTCCTGGCTCCTGGCTTCTTGGCTGTAACAGGCATTTGGGGAGTGAACCAGCAGATGGAAGCTTGGTCTGTCTCTCTCCCTCTCTCTCTCCCCCTCCCCTCTCCCCCTCCCCCCTTCCCTCCT